CGCGTGTCGCCTGGACAGTCAACCTCGCTACATCCTTGTTGACTGGACATCTACACTACATGAGCTGCTGTTTACATGTGAACATTAGCTCATAACGATACCTAAGTACGTGTGTCGCCTGGACAGTCAACCTCGCTACATCCTTGTTGACTGGACATCGACACTACATGAGCTGCTGTTTACATGTGAGCATTAGCTCATGACGATACCTAAGTACGTGTCGCCTGGACAGTCCCCGCTACATTCTTGTAGACTGTACAAAAAAATAGCTACTGATTCAAAAAATATAAAGCAATCTTACCATTTTCGTATACGGAACTCAAAAATTAATATAATCATATATTATGAAGTTAGATTCTTAAACGTTTTGACAAATATGGTAGTCAGATACGGACAATAAAACATTATGATTTATATTATAGTATGTTGAGTGGTATTCCTTATAATATGTTATTTTTATTATAATTTATTATTATCTTCGCTTCCTAATAGGGACTGGTAGAACGGCACGTTTCTTAGTTGATTTAGAACAGTAATAAAGTTATCAAATTAGTATAATTTTTTGCTAGACTGTTGTTATCTCAGGAATAGCTGAATGGATTTTCATAAACTTTGCTTTGACAGAGGCCGGGCAGTGGCGCTCTCTAAAAAACCTGAACCTTTTTTACCTACCAACGGCAAGTACCAATGTGACCTTTTCCGAGTTATATGTACTTTCTTAGATTATTTAGACACCACTGACAAACGGTGAAGGAAAACATCGTGAGGAAACCTGGGCTTATAATTCCTAATTATAAGTTTGTAATCGCCAACTCGCATTGAGCTAGCGTGGTGATTAATGCTCAAACCTTCTCCGTGTGAGAAGAGGCCTTTGGTCAGCAGTGGGCATTTATAGGCTGTTGATGATGATGGTGATGTTTAGGTACTTAGAACGAGGGTAGATTATTACTTTATATACGTGGGCAGAAGTTAGTCTAAATACATAGCTATATTTTGTTAAAGTTTAAAGTCGTGTGTACGTAGTTTTTAAACTTTATTAACAACAGTAAAGAACTTTCGCAATGCGTTGTGAAACTGTGAGTCGAGAGACGAGACGTTTAGTGATGTGCTTGCATTGTATCGATGAGTATTATCGATAGGTTTTGTATGTGACCTTAAATATGTGTATGGTGAAGGTGTTTTTCTTCTAGTGGTGTGTTAAATACTTTTTTTGACATGGTTAGGTTATGTTAGAAATTCAAATGGTTGAAGAATAAATGTTAAAATTGAAGTTCTCAGGTATTATCAAATGCCTATGACAGTCCACTACTAGACTATCATATAGGTTACAAGGTTCAGGTTTATCAGAGAGCGCTGCTGCCCAGTCTCTGTCAAATGTGTAGTCCCTTAGTCGGGTATACGACACCCGCGGGAAGAGTAGGGGAGGTGACAAATCAATCCTTCTGCTGTCTTCACACAGATCACGTGATTATATTACTAATATGAAAATTCGACAGTATTTCTTCAGGAAACAATGCTTGAACTGTGCACAGAGATCGAATCGACCTTGACCAAGGATACAATAATAAAAAAAAATACTTGTCAAAATATTGCACACGAATAAAGCCGCTAGTAAAAGTTAGTACTTTTCAATCAGAAATCGACCGCACATATGACGCAACAGCCTAAATGTAATCTAGTGCATCTATACCATATATAACAAAACGGGGGCACATCTAAATACATTCATAATAACAAAATGAATTTGGATGTTTTTGACATCCAATTCAATATTTCTCATACATTTACATACACGCTACATCCGTCGTGATATCATCGAATTGCGTAACGAAATTCCTTCGTCTCAGAATGGTGACAATTCATTTTATATAATCTTGAAATTTTTGTGTATACACTCTAAAGAACAATATGCTTTTTGCTACAAAGATGGTAAACTAAATGCAATATAAATATGGCAATAGACTCACCCCCTATTACATGGGACTCATAAAATAAATAGTGAAAATTGGGTGTTACATTGTATATGTGCACCTCTGTCTACCCCTTCAATGTTTCATTTAAGGATTTTTTAACACATAACATCACGCTTTTTATCCCCGAAAAGGTTAGCAGAGGTGCACATAATGCCACTGTACAATGTAACACCCACTTTTCACTATTTATGTTACGAGTCCCATGTAATAGGGGGTGAGTCTATTGTTATATACCGGGCACAATTCCAAAGTCCGTGCTACTAATGAGATTTTTTCTCCGTTTCTTTATAATTATTAAAATGTATGACGCCTAGGTTTAATTACTGTAATGTTTTACTATTTTAATTTAAATAAATAAATAAGAATAATTCTGTTTACGGAGAAATCTATCAATTGTGTTCTCTGTTTCCTGAAATATTACTTTAAACTTGTTCAATTTGATATGTTTAGTTAAATATGTTTCGAGCACCATGTTATAAGTTAACGATGATTATATATAACATAGTTGTTGTCAAAGCTATGAAATAAATGTAATCACTATGATGCCCGTAGTTGCTATGTATAACCGTTTTTCACCATTTATGTTATGAGTCCTAAATAAGATAAATAGCAAAAATATAATTTATAATCAGCGATAAAAATACATTTTGACACACAATGAACTATGTTTTACTCGCATACTGGCTTGTTTCATCAGAATAAAAGAAATCCATAAGAATAAAAAATAATCATTTTAATGTATTAGATTGTCAATCAAAATTTAAAAAGATATAGAAAATATATCTATGTATGTATGTATGTATGTATGTATGTTGTAAGATTTTGTAATATTTAGTAAATTCTTTATCAGTTAGCAAGTTTTCTTTTATATTAGGCGTTAATAAGGTTGGAGGTCGTATGCGTATGCGCAATGTTCACGACACATTCAAACGTAAAATGCGTCAATATTTGAGATGGAAGTCGAAGTTTGTACGATAGCTGTGTCACAGAAAATTTAAAAATTGGATGAAATTAATATTTTAATATTTTTAAATCGTTTAATATTTGTTTAATTATATTCAAACTCTTTTCCTTAAATAATAACGTTATTACATATTTCGTTTTTGTATTTATACATAGTAAAACAACTATAGTATACGGTCATGTCCGTTAAAGCTTCATAACTTCGATAAGACCTATATTTATCGAGTGTTTATTTAAGTATTTATAATTTATAACAATATAGACTAGCAGTATTATATATCTACCAAATTGTCTAAGACCTAACTAAGACCTTGTAAGGCTTTTGTCTTCAACATGATAATTAAAGTTCATATCAGGTGACTCCCTACAACACGTGTCCAATAACCGGATAAACTAGAATCCTACAAGTTTAAAAACTAATTTTTAAATTTTTGACAATTTTTAAACAGCACACTAATAAAGCCGCTTACTAATTCTGCTCCAGACGTAAAAACATTAAATTTATTCACAGGAAATCACAGGATGACGTTACCAAACCACATTATAGTGTTTAATAATAGACGTCTACATAGTCTATGTATGTTCGTAGAATATTAAAATGTGGGATTTTATAGACTTTACTAAAACAATCACGTATTACAACTCACTTCACATGTGTTCAGTTAAACGAAATTAAATTATCTTGTAGACATGTTAATAAGGTAATTAAAACATTTATAGCATAATTATTAGTATTAAAATGGTGTCGGGATTTGTATCCGGTATCTTCTTATAGTTATAAACAAATGAATTCAATTTTAAAGCGTGGTATATTAACTTATGGAAAGAATTATTGTATTTTTTGATTTTTGGAAAAAAATTTGCTTATGTCCTTTTAGCTCAGACCAAAATATGTTATCAAGAAAATATTTTTAAGCATCATTAATATTTGTGAATAAAAATCAATCTTAAAATAAATTAAATTTACTTAAAAAAAATCCGTAATTACTTGTTGTTATTTCAAGTTCCCATTCATTAATAAAATGAATACAATATTAACCACTTTTTTTCTGCAAAAGCAAAAAGTCACAATAATAACTGACCACATATTATTATTTTTAAATAGCAGATCATCTTGACTCCAATTACAAGTAATTATTATAATACCTTTAATTGCTTCGCTAAAATAATAATTATTCATGAATAATTAAAATCAGGACGGATGTAGAGGTACTGAAAAATTAATATGTCCAACGTCAAAGTGACTCACTTAGTTACATGAATAAATTAAAATAACCAACTGAACAAGACGATGTTTTCGAAAATAACAAACTTGTGGTTTATTTCCGTTGCATAAATCATAAATTCTAATTTAATTATTAATGAATAGACTCGGAAAAAAACAAATTATTAATACTAATAATTTTGTCATTAATAAATTTAAGATTTCTTGTATTTCAAGTACATCTGCGTATTATTACTAGACAAGATTATTATAATATGACATTTGACATTTTTTGTACGTCTACCAAAGTTATGCATAATTTAAAATTTGTGCTTTGGGCGTTACTTGAACATTTTTTTATTATTTAATATTGTGCAATTTATGAAATGCTTTTGATATTCCTTCAAAAATAAAATTAATTTAAAAATATCTTTAAATACGTGTTTTCTAAAACTTTTTCTTAATTTATTATAATGAAATTAATTTACCGTAATAATTAATAATTTATGTGAATTAAAAAGTCAGCAATATTCCTTCAATATTAAATTTCATGATTATTATTTTATTTTCACTTAATCACGTTTTATTTTACATACTTTTATTCAAAATTAGCATAACCATTATTTATTACTGATAAATACAAAGCCCTAAATAATAAAAAAAATAAATATACTATGTTCGCAAAAAAGATTCTCAAAAATAAAAAAAAAACTCTAATTTCCATACATTAGACATCAACGCGCGTACCATCCCTGTGCTTAAAAAATAAAAAATAGCACATTAAAAAAGGCGCTCACTATTTTCAACTAAGCACTAAAAAGAAAAAAAAAAGAAAAATTGAAAAAAAAATTAAGACTCACATTAAATTATCACAGCAACCACTCTACACTGACAGTCACAACACACTGAAACGAACCACGACAAAATCCCGCTTAATACTGTTTTCGTATCACAGATGTGTATATATTTTTTTTAAATTTTAATTATTTCAGTTCGCGTGTAGCACACCACTTTCGTCCGGCAGACATGAACAACCGTTGTTAAGATGCGTCCGACGCTTATATACAAAGGTTTATGAAACTGCTGTGACCTCGGCGTTTTCATACAAACCATGCTTCGGAAATATATATGCTGAATCATATTTTTCCCTATTTTTTTAGAGCAGCGTTTCTATGGGAGGCTTTTTTAGTGTGCAAATTTTTTTATACGGCTTAATATAATTCGTAGTATTCGGTTAATACAAATATAATTGAGTTTGGAGTACAATGTATAAGTGTTTATAGAATTATTCGGTTTGGAAATTCTTTGGTGTGATTTGAAGCTGTATTACTGAGAAGTTTAAAAAGTTTTTTGTATTATAATTACCCTGTTAGGTAGTTTAAAATAATGTCGTTTAAATGTAACTATTATGATCGTTAGTTTGTAGTTGTAGTTGCGTGAGTTCAATTCTCTGGTTAGTTTAAAAGACTCAGTAATTGTATCGTTAGAAGATATCTATTTTAACTAGATTTAATACCTACTTAAGTTAGGTAGGTAGGATTTTGTAACTAGATTTAATACCTACTTAAGTTATCGAAACATTAAGCTTGCTATGCTTTGAAGGGGTAAGCAGTAAGAGTATTGATAAATCCACAATTAACAAGTTATAATTAATTCTATAATAAATAGCATCAAACATGGATTTCATTTTAAACTGCAATTATCAAAATGTTTAAAACCTCGTCCTATTTAAGAGTTTTTGACGTGGAAATAGAATATTTGAAAATAGGAGGCAGGAGAGTGAATATAGGTTACGTTTTTCCTTAAACAATGTGAATGAAACCATGCGTAGCAGTTACTTATTTATAATGCAAAAACTGTCATGAATTCATAAGTAACTAAGTATGTAAATATAGTCATAAAAATTTTATCTCCTCAATTAAAATAGTACCTACTTATGGAATACACGTATAACATAACATCACGCCCTTTATCCCCGAAGAGGTAGACAGAGGTGCACATTACTGCATTTAATGCCACTGTACAATGTAATACACACTTTTCACTATTTATGTTATGAGTCCCATGTAATAGGGAGTGAACCTATATATACCGGGCACAATTCCGGACTCCGTGATACTACTGAGATTAAAAAAAAAACAGTAATATTTTGCCCGTCTCGGGAATTGAACTCGAGACCCTTTGCGCGGCAGTCATATCAATTAATAATTTGTACTAATCCAAGAATCGAATTCAATAACACATCTAGGTCAACAAAGTATAACATAATTGCAATAACACATTGATAAATAGGAACATAGTTATTTTTTCCAATAATTACAATTTTATTGCTTCAGGAAACAGCTAATTAACGTTTTGCAATTAAACCTTTATAATTACATTATCTTACCTTTCGTATTGATCTGGTTTTTACCTCATCTGTGTCAAACTCTTAATTACATATCATTAACTGCTTGTTTCATTCATACTAGGTATATATTTACATATAAGTCAATATTCTATTGCTACATACAGAAGGTGGAAACAACTTAAAATTCTATCTCTCAAAGTGCTTCGTTTGCCGAGTGGTCGCAAGGGTGCCGGGCAAGGGGTTCGATTCCCGGGTCGGGCAAAGTGTTATTGGGTTTTTAAAAATACTCAGTAACAGCACGGTGTCTGGAATTGTACCCGGTATATGGCAATATGCTCACCCCCTATTACATGGGACTCATAACATTAATAGTTAAGTGGGTGTTACATTGTACAAGGGCATAATGTGCACCTCTACCTACCCCTTCGGGGTTAAAAGGCAAAATCAAAGTTGTGATATGATGTGATGAATGTAAAGTAGAATACGTATGTTACCACCCCTACTCTTCTCGCGGGTGTCATATACCCGACTAAGGTACAAAAAAAATATGGCAGAGATCTGGTACTATAGTGATCTTTAAAAAACGTTGCCCCACACTATTTTTCTTGGTGGAAATACATCGAATGACTTGACACACAAAGAGTTGCTCCGTGCGGGAATCGAACCTGCTACATGTTGCGCAGCAGCCAGTTGCCCAGCCACCGCACAAACCACGTTTTTGATAAACCTGGACTTTTCAAACTGCCATTTCTAACCCGTCTGACAAGCGTGACATTATGACAAACCCCTCTTAAGTAGATGAGGCTCATACTCCAGCATGGGATTGTCATATGCTACATTATGATAATCTTATACTTATACTTACTTGCTTATCACTTACCTTATTTTATTTTTTTATAATACCTATAAAGTTTAAGAGTTCGTTTATCTGTTTGTTTGAACACGGTAATCTATGGATCTTTTTTTCGAGGGGGAAAAATCATCCTATTACTTCTCCCGCCCGTGTGAGGTGGGAGGGAGTGTCAGACTCTTACTGACTAAAAACCAACCCGTTCCTACTGCTGCACTTCGAGCCGGAGCCCCGACAACCCGTTAAGTCTTCTGCGGCTCTGTATCGACATCAGCCCTGTTGGGCCCCATCTGTGGTGGTCTGATAGCTCCTTGAGGCGCGCGCGGAACGTTCGGCGCCGTACGTTCGGGTCTGGTTCTGGTCGGGCGGCGAGCCATCCATGCCCGTTGGCCGTGTCATCGCAAGTCTGACTCCCGGGCAAGGGGTCTCGGATTCGATTCTAGCTCGGGCAAAATATTTCTGTGTTTTTTAAAACTTCTCAGTAGTAGCACGGTGTCTGGAATTGTGCCCGGTATATGGCAATAGGCTCACCCCCTATTACATGGGACTCATAACATAAATAGTGAAAAGTGGGTGTTACATTGTACAGTGGCATTAAGTGCTGAAATGTGCACCTCTGCCTATCTCTACGGGGATAAAAGACGTGATGTTATAATGTTATAACCGGTCTATTGCTGAAGAGTTGTTCTTTAACCAACAAATCATAGAACTAGTAATTTATAAAATTGACAAGTTTTTACCTAAAAATAATTTATAATTAATCTGAATTTATGACTAAAAAGATCAATAGTTCAAATATAAAGACTCTTTAATGACCAACAACCTTGGACGCAGATTCGATTCTTGATTCATCGAAAAATAATTGCGACTAGTTTATAATTACTTTTAATCATTGTCTGCTTACCCTGGTCCAAATATGGTAGCTTTTAATATCATTATTATCATTTTCGGTGACTCCTTCTCCCCGGAAAAGGCATAATCACACAGTTACCTACATCCGCAACACAAGCGCGTTTAATTACCTCTTTTTTGAAGGGTGGAAGATTACTCAATGACTTCTCCTTCCCTGGGTAAAGCGAGAGGGAGTGTCAGACTCTTACTGACTACACATCACCCCGTTCCTACTTCTGCACTTCGAGCTGGAGTACGGTAAGCGATCAGCGCCGTCCATGGACACCCGCAACACCAGAGGAGTCACAGGTGCGTAGTCGGCCTTTTAAAAAGGAATACGAATTTGGATTGGCTCATTCTTATTTTAAACTGTCAAACACCAAGCGGTCACCGGTGACCGTAACCTATTGTTCTATAATTGTGTCTGTAATGACGGTACTCGACGAGTTAAACGGTAGAGTAAACAGTGCCGCTCATGGACATACACAATACTAGTGGAAAATTGCAAGTGAGTTATCAGCCTTTTAGAAGTTAGGAATTTGAGTATAATTGGGGATTCGGCACGAATGGGTCGGCTTGACCGGAGTGATACCACGGCCTCACAGTAAACCGACGTGAAGCAACGCTTGCATTGTGTTTCGTCTTATAAGTATGGTTACTGGATGCCCAATTACCCCACCTCTTCTTCCCCAATCATCAATCCTCCAATCTAAGAATCCTCAAATTCTTAATCCCCAAAAGGCCGGTATGCACTTGTAACGCCTCTGGTATTCCTGGTGTCCATGGGCGACGCCGATTAAAATAAAATAAATAAAATAAAATTTATTAAAAAAACAACATAGAACACATTTAGAATTACAGTTCGCTCAGATTTTATAGTAATAAAAAGTCTTAATAATAACACTCGTAATAGTTTACTTAATCTAGTCTTATACAATATACATGCGAGGAAATAACGTTCTAAGTTCGATTGCTTACCATCAGGTGATCCGTCTGCTCGTCAATTAGCATAATAAAACAAAGTTACACGATGAAAGACAACGCAAGCGTTATTTCGCGTGGATTATTTGTTAGATCTCTTATGAATTCCTGATCTGTAAAACCTAATTCGGAAACTGAACGGCCTTAATCAAAGTCAAAGCATTTATTTCAATTCAACCATAATTTGATACTTTGGAAACGTTAACAAATACAAAAGAAAAATAATAGTCTGTCAGTCAGTCCGTCCGTTAAGCTAGGTGCTCATTCAAAATGTAGATTCGAATGGAGAAGAACGAGGAAGAAACTCCATTCGTTACTCTTTTAAAAAACAATATGTTTTACAATCTCTCTGATACTATATCCAATATTGTACGTATATGTGAGAATAATGCAAAGACAAAACAAAAAAAAATAGAAAAATTATCTTACAGTCTAACACGGTGCTCACATATGCATACTGACAATCCATGAAAATAGTGCTTCTATACAAGAGAAAGGAACGATCTCTCTCGCGGGCCTGCGACCAGAACCAGACCCGAACGTACGGCGCGTCGCGTTCCGCGCGCGCCTCAAAGAGCCATCAGACCACCACGGATGGAGCCCAATAGGGCTGATGCCGATTCGGATTCGTGCAGAACCTATCGGGTTACCGGGGCTCCGGCTAGAAGTACAGGTGAAGGAACGGGGTGGTTTTTACAGTAAGAGTCTGACATTCCCTCCCGCCTCACCGAGGCGGGAGCAGCCATTCGATGATTTTCCCGCCTTAAAAAAGAAATACTAGAGTAAGGAAACTCTTTGTTTCAATAAAGAAAGAAATGCTCGATGGCGTAAGGAAACTAGATTGTCTATATTAGAATGAAAGTATTAAACTGTCAAACACCAAGCGGTTACCGGTGACCGCAACCAATTGTTCTATAATTGTGTCTATAATGAAGGTACTCGACGAGTTA